AAAACATCACAAAAAAGAGTGATAACCAAACATAAGGTCCTTCCTGATGGCATACTCAGAAACAACCATGAAGTATTCTTGCCAAAAAAATCGAGCCTGAATTTGATCAAGCCTCAAGATCTAACTATCAGTTTATAAAAAACACAGGGAGAAACATACTAAAAACCACAGAAATACAATTAGAAAAAAAAATCAAGACTGCAAAACACTACAGAACAACCTGTTTCTTCAACAAAAAATTACCAGGAAAAAAAAGAGATGGAGGAATGAGAATCTATAAGATTCCAAAAGTCTTAAGATATGTTAACTACTTTAATGTGTAAACCTTATTTTGGATCGTGATATAAACAAACTATAAAAAAAAGAACTTGGGAAATTTAAACATTAATTGCTTATTTAATGATACTAAGAAATTAATAATTTTATTTGTGATAATCGAGTTATAGTTATGTTTTTTTGAGTCCTTACCTTTTTAAATTAAATATTTTATTTTGAGATAATTGTTGATTCATGTTTAGTTGTAAGAAATTATATAAAGAGATGAGGTGCAGTGATTTATGCCTGTAATCCCATCACTCTGAAAGGCCAAGGCAGGAGGATCACTTGAGGCCAGGAGCTCAAGACTAGCCTGGGGAACACAGTGAGACCCCCATCTCCACTTTAAAAATTTTTTAAATGACACAAAAGGATATCTCATATCCTTTATCCAGGTTCCCCCAATGGTAACATCTCGCAAGACTATAGTACAATATCACAAACAAGATACTGACAGTGACTCAGTGAAGATCCAGAACATGTTCACTGCCATAAGATTCCCTCATGTTTTCTTTAATAGCCACAGCCATTTCCCTCCCATTCACACTCCCTATCACCTGGCAACCACAAATCTGTTCTTTGGTCCATGATTTTGTCATTTCAAAAGCGTTACAGAAATGGTATCAAACACTCTGCAACTTCTGGGATTGCCTTTTTGCACTCAGCATAATTATTTGAAGATTCATCCGGGTTGCTGAGTGTATCAATGATTGGTTCCTTTTTATTGCTGAGTAGTATTCCATGTTAATGGTATGCTATTCTCTGTTTAACCATCTACCCACTGAAGACACCTGGGTTTTTTTTTTTCCATTTTGAGCTATTATAAATAAAACTGATATGAACATTCATGTAGAACCCTTATCTTCTAAAGATACTTAAATATGTAGGGATGAAATAAAATGATGCTAGGAATTACTTCAAAAAAGTTCTTAACTGGATGAGATATGGAAAAAAACAAACTCTTCATCAGCTAATAAGCACCTTATACAATTATCTCTACTTTTATATGTGTTTAAAATTTTCCATAATGTAAAATTCAAAAAAAGAATCCAGTAAGAAAAAATTACTCATCTGACTACTACACACCCCTGCACATAAACACACATATCTTACAGTAAAACTGAAGGTACACTTTTTTATCTTGTGACTTTAGGCCATGCCAAGATCAAAGGAATTCTTTTCTTAAAACATAGAGCCAACACCTTCCAGTGATCATTATTGTAACACTCACTATAACAATTAAGGCAAATCCAACCTAAGTATCTGTTAACTTTCTTTCAGAAGTTTTTTTATTAAGCTACAGGGTTGATATAATAGGTAGTCTGTAACATTGGACAAAAGCAGGTAAGTAATCACCATAATCAAATGTATGAGATTTATGAGTGGCTTGTCTTCAAAAGAGAGGGTTTACATCTGACATGAATAGGTCCTTATCATCAAGACAAATGCTGAAAGAACAGAAGTGTGATTACTAAAGATGAAGAGCAACAAACTATATGAGCACAATCAGGCCTGAAAATGAAGTGTAATGCATTTTATATTTGCAAAGGCTGCTTTTGTTTTTAAGCCACTCTGGAGGACAGCATATTATTATCATGTTCAGTCTGCAAGCTAATGATTCCTTAGTATAATTCTGCAAAATGGTGTCTACTATTCAACACCACCAATATTCTATCAGCCCATTCTTCCTTAGTGCTGTATCATCTTCTTCCCTTCCATCTCACTGAGGACACCTTGTTTTTTCTTCGTATGTGGTACTGAAAAATGAAGACCTATTCTCCCAAAGATCTCAAGCAAAGAAGAGACCATAAATGCCAACCCATTAACCAATCTGGGATTAAAAGCCAAGATCTCCAAAGGAAATATTCATGATGATTTTCAAATGCCAAGTAGTGCAATGGCTACAAATAAGTTTCCCTTACTTGATCTGTAATGCCTCAACATGCACTGTGATGAGCAATTTTAAAGCTTAAATAAACATTGTTATTAGAAGTAGGATATCTGTTCACAGATCAAATCCCAATAAGATCAATTCCAAAGGATCACCTAAGTTTTATAGTTGTGTTGTAGTGTGATTATATCAAATATCCCTCGTATTAAGTGAGCCCCAGCCTTGGTGTTAGAAATAGTAATGCTTGTTGTGATAGGATTTGATCTGTAATACCATACTATGATAGGGAGGAAAAAGATGGTACGCTAATAGGCTATCTGTGTGACAGTGAAATAACTATAAAATGAAAGACATTAGTCAATTCTATTAAAAGCAATCTATATACAGATTGGTTCAGTGGTGAGTTTAACAATGTAAGAGTTCTATCAATAAAAAGAAATCTATGGCAACATTGTATCAAAATCTTGTTCTTATGTCATGGGTCAGAATCAAGACACATGGAATTAAAATATAAAATATCATAGACCACTAGAAACTGTGCTATATACAGGCCTGCATTGAGGAGATTAATTATCTGCTAGAGACAGAAAAGGAAAATGGTAAGAATTGGATGCAAGAGTATAAAGGAATTGAGAAAGAGTTAATAAATGGGTGTAAAGTTAAATACACATATATTTTTGAACACTTTTTTCCTCTATCTTTTGCCATATTTCTTGACTCTTACAACCAAACATTTTCTAGGTCTTGTGGATAAGGACTCTACAACACAAATTTTTGTGCAGTTTGTGGCCATTGACAAGACACTAGAAGCTGGAACTCTTAGCACTCATCTTGATATACTTAAAGGTTAATCTAAAATAGTTTGCATAAACTAAAATGTTCTTGCCAAATCTTTAGGGTTGGTTTTCTCATATTTCACATTATCCTTCTTCATAGCAACCACCAATGCCTGGTCTACAGATTTGGATTTCAGAGGGGCCATTTTTGTCAGCTGAGTTGGTTTCAGAGAAAGGGGTGTATGAGAGGACAGGTAGTAAGAGGTAATGCATACAGAAAAATGAGGGAAGGCATTAGATCTAGAAAAGATCACAAGAACAAACGGCACAAGAGGAGTATAGAGAGATGAATAACCATGTTTGGCAAGAGCTGTGTAGAGTGGAGGAGTAGAAGATAAACTTAGAAGAGCAGGTTGGAACCAGGGAGCGGCAACCTCTGATGCCCAGGCAAAGCATTTAGACCACATCCCATAGGCCCTCAGAAAACTACTGCAGGTTACAGCACAGGTAAGATAAGTACAGCGGTGGTTAAAAAGATGTGACTACAGGTAACGGGCAGAGAGGAAAGGAGCAGAAGACCACAGATAAGAGGCTTTACTAATTGTTCCACGTGAGGTCAGAGGGCTTGATCTAGGAGGGTGATAGTGGGAAGAGAAAAGATTAATTTGAGAGGCAGTGTGAAAGATACAAATACTTAAAGCTAGTTTTGTCCTCAATTAAAACCTAGAAAATGGTCATTGTTAAAGAACTACTTACGAGATGCTAAGGATTCTCATGTTGATTGGGAGGTAAACTGTCATTATGATCAAACACATAAGAGGGCATAAAAATTCTAATAACTGATAAAGTCATTTTTAAAGGACGCTTTCACTAAGCTCAACAGAACCTTGGAAAAAATAAGATTTTTGATATAAGTAAAAATTATTTTTAAGGAGATTATGATTGGTTGCAAGGTGATGAGTATTTTTTAATTTTCAAAATAATTAACTACTGATTTTAGCAAGGCAGTGATAATGACTTATATGATTGACAAATCTATTTTCTCTACTTTTGAAAATCTACTTTTTATATCTGCTTTTGCAGATCTATTTTCTCTACTTTTGCAAATCACTATTGCAACCATATTATTAATCAAAAGCTCTTTTTTGCAAATGTATCTATGAGTAAAACTGTAAAGCAGTATAGATTACAGAAGGCAAATCATGTATTTCTTAGTGTATAAGCCAACTTAGTTTCTATGTTCATTTGCTTAATACATTTTTATTGAGCACATACTACATGATAAGTACTGTGCTGGTGCTGCATGTGCAATGAAGAATAAAAGAGACATGGTCCGCCTATATGAGAGCTCACAGTACAGACAGTCCCAGACTTAGGATGGTCCAGCTTAACAATTTTTAGACTTTATCATGGTGCAAAAGCGATACACCTTCAAGAGAAGGTATTTTGATACCTACACAACCATTCTGTTTTCCACTTTCAGTAAAGTATTCACCAAATTGCATGGAGCTATTCAATATTTTATTATAAAATAGGCTTTGTGTTAGATGATTTTGTCCAACTGTAGGCTAATGTAAGTGTCCTGAGCACATTTAAGGTAGGTTAGGCTAAGCTATGATGTTTAGTAGGTTAGGTGTATTAAATGCATTTTCTACTTAAGATATTTTCAACTTACAATGGGTTTATCAGGATGTATTCCCATTGTAAGTCAAGGAGGATCTGTATAGTGGAAAAAACAGACATCGATTTTTTTTGAATCATCCTAATATGTAATTTAAAATCGGAATAAGCATCCTAAAGGATAATTATAGCACACTCTGAGAGCTTATAATAGGGTGGCTAAACCAAGACTGGGTCTGGGAAGGTGTTTTTAAAGAAACTGTCTTTGAGGTGAAATATGTAAAGATATAGAGGAGTGAAATAGGGAAAAGAGTTGGGGAGAGGGAACTAGAAGAAAAGATGAACAGAGGGAAAGAATACAATAAAATGCATACAATAAAATGACAATACTCTCCGACCTGTTGTGTAATAGTGTCCCATGGTCCCTGTAGCAGTCGCGTCTTATAGCACTCATGAACTCCTTCCCATATGTCCTTCAGAGTTAAAGGTCTCCCATCTGTGAAAGTGCATGGTAAAGATTGAGTTAGTAATTCATGTGACACAATGGTTCTTGGTGTCAATCTAAAACTCTTGGAAGAATATCATGACTTTTAGAAAGATCTTCAGTGCACATGCTATTTATATATCAAGAGAGTGCTATATGAATTACTATTTTCTTCCTGAGGGAAATTTAAACATTCAAGCATCTCAGCTTTGTATCCATCTAGCATTTAAATTATCTGCCCATTCATTGCCTCTAGGAATTTTACAAAATAAATAAAATCCAAATGTGTTTTAGAGAGAACTGACAGATACAAGCAGAGGCAAAGGAACAGACAAACAGATTCCCATATTCACAAAGGTGCACTATGAATACTTTGAATCCTTCGTACTTCCTCTAGTCCTTAAAACAAAGAAGCCATACCCATGCATCTTTCACATTCTCATGGAGTATCTATAATGTCCAAATCACTCCATCAGGTACCATGGAGAATAGAGATAAGAAAAACACACAATTTCTCCTAACAATGAGCCTATCATCTACTGAGGAAACTGTGACAAGTATATTATAGTAGAGTGGTCTCTGCCTGAAGAAGACTGACGCTCACTGATGGTCCAAGGAAGAGAGATATTAATACTTGGTGTATATGGCAGGCAGAGAAAGGGACTCTTGGGGTGGGAAGGGACAGTAGAACAGGGTTGGCATGAACAGGGCAGTAAAAGCTTTATTGAACAATAATGCTCTTTTTCTTTGTTTCAATTATCCATCTGTATCCACCCAAACAATGTTTTACAAAGACCACTATGGCACTTACATTATACACAAGGTAAGTAAAGTGGAAAAATAGGTATCTAAGTTCTGAAAAGAAAGTAGAAAGAAGAAGTCACCTAAAGATTTCAAACCATACACTGCTGGAAAGAAAGTATCTTAATGCTAGAATCCGGTATAACTTGCTCCATTCAGAGCTATAAGGCCCTCAAGACTCAGGGGTGTGCTCTTTTGGGCTAATGGAGGATATCACTTAAAGATATTTCACATAGCAATATGCTGAATATTTAGATCAAAGAAGTATTTGGTCATCAAGGGCAACAAAGCATAAGGGAAATAATCTACTCAAGAGCTCCAAAAATCACTGTATTAAGACTTTCTAGTATAAGTTTAGAAATGTATGGTGTTGGGGGAAAAAACACTAGATTTGGAATCTGGACTAAGTTTAAATCCTGGTGTTGGCACTTACTCCCCATGTGAGTGCAAATTACTTTGCTTTTAACTTTACCTGCAAAATGAGAAAAATGATCCTTTCTGAGTATTGTTCTTTTGAGGCTTACATTAGTGAATGCACCCAGGACTGTGTTAGGTACACAATGAGAGCTCAATAAATATTAGGAATCTCCTCCCAGCCCTCACACAATCATTCTAGTAATTCTCAAACATAAAAGATTCATTTCTAGACTGTTATTTCTTAGAATTTTCCCATGTTGCTATACCGTGTATATCATCTTTGATACAGTACTAAACTAATATCATAAGCAGGACATTTCTCATGTTTGACCTAAAAAGTTGAACTTTTCCTCGACCTTTATTTTCAATAAATAGCAATAGAATATTTTGATACATTTTCAATAAGTATCTTCATCTTGGCATTTATCTGGCGGTGGGAGACCATTATCTTGTGATAAATAGTTTTATTCCATTGACATTTCCATGTCTGTAAAATGAACAAGATTTATTCATCCAATTAACATTTGAATGTCATGTTTAGCTACAAGTTAAAAACAAGCTGCCTTCAGTATCTGTGTTATATTGTTTTCTGAACACATTTACAGAGTAGGGCCAAACTCTGCTCTTAAGCACTATGCACCTTCGAAATATGCACATGCCATGCATGCATATGTGTGTGTGTGTCTGTGTGAACGCACGCGTGTGTGTGTACTGGTGTGGGAAGAGGCAAATAAGATCTTAAGTACTTTAGTGTCAAATAGTAAACTAATCAAATTATAGAATGATATGCTTTTAAAATAATTTTTACATGTCAAAGTTAGAAGAAATCAAATACCTGTAGTAGGATAATAAAATGTTAGAGCTAGTATAACCACTAATTTTATAAATAGGGCAGCCAAGGTCTTAGGAAATATGTATCTGCCAAAAGTATGCAGCAGGTTCATGACTGAACTCAAGTCTGAATCCAGATCTCAGGACTCACCAGTGCTCTTCCTGCTGGTCCACGCTGCCTCTGAGGGCTGAGGCATTGCAAATGGTTTATAAATATTTACTGAGTAAATGATAAATGATGAAAAAATGCCTTCCTTAACTTTATTTCCACTAACATAAAGGTTTACAGGCCTAGAGAAGAATGCTGGGTTTCATATCTTCATATCTGATAATCAGTAATGATTTTAATTTTATTCCTTAAAGTATTTCGGGCAACAATGTAAGTACAGAGTAAATGGTTTGGATACAAGTTAATTTTAGAAGTAGGTGTTTTATATAATTGGGCACCTACTATATGCCAGGCACCTGTGCCAAGCCTTTGCGATACATCAGTGAGCAAAACAATCATCCCTGTTTTCATGGAGGTTACATTCTGCCTTGGGGTGTGTGTGTGTGTGTGTGTGTGTGTGTGTGTGTGTGAGAGAGATAATAAACAATAAACACAATAAACAAGTAAACTGTATATTATCTTAGGAGGTGATACATACTGTAGTGAAAAGGAAAAGTAGAGCAGGCTAAGAAGTGCCAGCCAAAGGTGGATTTGCAATTTTAGACTTCAGTGAGAAAGTAACTGTGTGCAAAAAATGGGAGGCACAGCGTTCCAGGGAGAGGCACCAACCAGTGGAAAGACCACCAGGGCTGGGTAGGGGATCACTAGCACCACATGAATATCACTAACATTCGTCACTTACAGACAATGACTTAAAAAAACACACATAACTTTATCAAGATATAATTCACATATATACAATTCGCCCATGTTAAGTGTACAATTCAATTGTATTCATAGAGTTGTGCAATCATCACCTCAATTAATTTCAGAACATTTTCATCACCTTAAAAAACAACAACAACAAAAACAGCTGGGCACAGTGGCTCACGCCTGTAATCTCAGCACTTTGGGAGGCCCAGGTGGGAGGATTGCTTAAAGCCAGAAGTTTGAGAGCAGCCTGGGCAACAAAGTGAGACTCCATCTTTACAAAAATGTGGCTATACAGGGAAGGGCAGAGACAAGAGGCCAGGAAAGTATTTACCTCAGTGGAGTCCTTTAGCTGCAGTCCCAATGAGGCCTGGCAAAGCTTTATTTCTTTTTCTTCAGAAAAAGCGCTATTTTCTTCTCACCCCTACTTTCTAAACCAACTTGAGTGCTTTTCTGATTGTTGTAACCAGAGCTTTGTTTGAAAAGCAGACTCTTCAAATGAGGAAACCAATGGAAAAATTGGTAACATAACAGCACAAGTCTGTTATACAACCACAATGATGCAACTGCTTGAGATGGCTTAGACAGTCGTGACCTCCATGAATACCCTCTCCAAACCATGGTCTCCAACTTCCAAAATCTAACCTCCTTAAAAAAACTGAGGAAGGTCAACAAGTAACTGTAACACCATTGTTAAAATATCTGCTTCTTCTAGGCCCATAATGGCTATCTCAAGGGCCACTGCAAAGTCTCTTTAGCACCTCTCAAAGTTCTGTGTTTGGCACCCCCTGCTGGTGGCATGCTAGGCCTGGTGGGACTACAAGTATTTAAAACAAGCATATCAAGTCTTAAATATTCAAAAGACCACTGTTTCTCAAGATAGTCACCTAGGGAGGTTACCTTACTATTCAGCAAATTCAGCCAATATTTATTCCAACAATGCTGTAATTCTGTCAATGGAACTGCCTTTGAACTTTTGAACTGCCTTCAGAGCCAGACAAGTAACTAATTACTTACTAGTCCCAAATAGGTTTAAATCAAAGGAAAAAAATTATACTTATTTTATTCCATATATTTGGTTCCAAATGATTTTGTTGTCTCCAAACAAATTCACCTTTAATGGGCAACCATCTTCCAACTTTTAGCCACAAGGACTGGAAGAAGTTTCAAAACCAGCAGTTCCCAAAATACATTGAGTAATCAGAGTATGGTTGGCAAAAGTATATAATTTTGCTTTTCCTCTGTATCTCTGCAAATCTCTCCAGTTTCTGCTGACCACTTACACTGTAAAAGGTCTGGGTAAATATAGTTTTGTCTCTATGACAACAATGACCTAATGAGGTATGATGCGGTTTCTGTTCCCTAAGCCTTCATCACTGGTTTGCCTAATCACAGTTTACACCTTCATCATCAAAGACATATGAAAGTTAGTTTCTGAGATGTTTCACAGAAAAACAAAAAGATCTAACTTGATAAGCAATATGTTCAAAATCCTGGCATACATTATTGATATCTAAAATGCTTTCAAATATGATCGTGACTCTATTTCGAAAGCAAAATGGATACTTGAGAAATCCCACTGAAACAATTAAACTAGGATATTTCTATATGTATAAAGAACCGCATCATATAAACAAAGCAGAAACCTGAAGAATATTGTACATATCCACTTATTTATGAAAACTGAAGACTCAAGACTTAAAATATGGACATAAATACTTGGTTAAGTACATAAAACACATTATTATGTGCCTGCATGTTCAATTCAGAGTATCTTCAATCAGAAACTTTAACCTATGTTAAGAGAGTCTATTTTTTTGCATCTGGCCTCAGTCAGAGGAGACATAAGCTTACTCAATCAACAACCCCTTCGTTTCAGATCCAAGATACTTGATCGCACCAATTTTAACATGCTTAGAAATTTCATTAATCACATTGAGGCTGAGTAGCTCAGTAAAATCCCTTGAATACTTGAAAAAGAAGTAGAAGCCAAAATAATTTCAGTAGTAACCTACATAGTGAGCATGGTAAACTGAGATCATTTATATAACAAGTGTTTAGTGAGTGCCTACTATGTGCCTATATCACTTGCAATGATAATACA